TTGGACATGACAGGTCGTCTTTTGACTGCCTGTGGTCACGCCTCTGAAACGGGCTCCAAATTAACCCCCTTCACTTCACAACTTTGGTTAATCCGATTCGTTCTACTCAAACAAACGCACCAGTACGAGATATTGGAGAATGAGCTCGGTACTTTCGATAGATTGGATAATCCGGATGTTTATTTCGAGCACGATCCTGCCACCTACAAGGGTCGTAAAGGTGTGTGCTATCTACTTAGCCTCATTTTTAATCCAATATATTGGCCTTACTAGATGGTATAAGGAAGTCATATTGGTTTGTTTTAACCGAATCGTGATGTAAACTGTTACTTGCAATGGCGGGATGCGGCATACGGATATTAAATCAAATCGGTAACCGGCTGTCGAAGCCATGTTGATTAGGGAGGTATTGGACATTAGGTAGACGTAACTGCGAAGATGGTGGTGGCAACACCATTCACTCTTTTACAATAGACAAGTTCGGATTTGTGTCTTGGTATTCAATCAGATAAATGTAAACTATCTTTTGGAACGGGTTTAGGAATGTACAAACCGGTGAACCTTTATATACAACCCCCTCTTCCAAGCGTCTCGGTATAACTGAGCTAGACTTTACTGAATACTCAAATGCGAAGGCCTTATGGACAAAGCAGCACCAATCCCAGTTTGAGTTTGTGTACTATTCGTTGTTTTTTGGTTCAAGGTCTCCGCTTCCTTCTTTTTCATTAAAGTAGCATCTTAGATATGAGCTTTTGTTTAATGTGTCAAGTAGTTGCCTTTTCTTTACGTATGTTGACATTGCATATTAGATTAGGCAATGAAATGGTAACAAAAAAGGAAGTACTATTTTAAATTCTTTGTTATAGGTTCAATGATCCCTTTCTCACTGCGACTCCTCCATGCTGAATTGCCATATTACTTGAAACGATCTAATGAAGCATTAGATCGTCTTTATTTCCTCTCCGCCGTTGTTTCACGAGTAAGAACTTGCCATTGTGAGTCTAGGTTGTCTTTTAGATGATCACTAATTTGACCAGTGACTATACAGAGGATGGACGTGACAATTGCCCAAGCGAGGCCTATAAAAACAGTAAGTGAATCAACATTTAACCGAGTATACTACTGATTTGTAATAAGTAAGCATAACAAAATCAACTTTGTCTTCAGGTTCGTTGATTTTGTGGAGACGCAGGCAATCTAAAATCCTCTCAATTTGTTTGTCAATCTACTTGAGCTTGAAAGATTATCCATCGGCGATCGATACAGTTTATCAAATGATTGAGAAATTAAAGCCTCTTGGTGAACATCGATTTCTTTATGGAACGTTGGGTCGTATTTACATGGAGGTGAGTGCTTTTTCGGTCGTTAACACATCACTCTTGTATTTAATCAATACTAGTTACTTTCAATTTATTGACACAATAATACTATTCATACTTTTGACCTTCGGTAGATAGGGAAATTTTGAAAGTTTCTCTTTGGTTTTACTTTGCTCAAATTGGAGGCATGTGGAGGTATTTGAATGCCATTCTTGAATACCTACTAATGTCGCCATTAGCTTTCACAATCTGCGAAATTGGTCTCAAAATTCTCTGCTAGACGGATTGGTTCGAGCCTTTGAACAGTAATGATATTCTTCCCTTATTGGAGCTGGGGGTTGAAAAGCTTTGTTAGTGAGATATATCATTCCTTGGGCAAAACTTCTCTCGCTTGAAATCACATGCTTTCTAAAATTATAGAGTTTAGCGACAATTTTTTTTTGGGCGGGGTGGGGTAGGGGGAGGATGGTGGCGAGGCGGAGCCTGGACGGATGGCTTTAAATTCGTGTCGGAGGGTTGGTAACTTTTGTTTTGAATTCCTTTGTTAGTAGAGAAAAGGTACGATCAATCATCCAGTTGAATTAATTGGTCGTCACGGTATGAATTTCGAGAACATGAACCCATTGAATAGTCCATGGATGTTTTTGTAAAATTGGGCTCTTGTAGACTTTTGTCATGCAATGAAGCTTGATTCTTATAGTCTAAGTGTTCATTTGGTGTTGCTAGACTACAGCTGTTTCAGAGATGGGTGGCATGGAATTGTTTTACATGAATACCAATTGTCATCCTCCTTTTTATACCTTACTGGAATATTTTGTCAAACGCAATACTGGGGTTTTCTGAAGGGCGGTTATTTGGTTTCAAAATAGTTTCCTAAAATGGAATTTTCCGGAAAATCGGTCTGGGCCGATTTTCGCGATACTTCGTTAGTAATGCCGATCTTCGAATGATTTAAGGTGATACTGTTTTAAGCCTTTATTTGCAATAAACGAAATCCAAACTGCCTTCTTATCTCCATTCCAGTTTGGAGATGTTGAAACCGCAGAAAAGATGTTCACCGAGTGTCTTGTGGATGCGCCACCTGATTTGAAATCAACACAAGTGCAACGACTAATGTTTAAGTGAGTCGTTCATGGGGTAAAAATAGTTTTTACCTTTTTTTCTGTTCGCAGTGCGATGCTCCAAATCGGAAATGGTCGTTTCGACGAAGCTAAACGGTCGTTTTGGGAGATTTTACAGCTCGATCCTACCAATGTGGCTGTAAGTTGGGATTTGAATTGCATAATTAAAGCCGTACTTTCAGGCAGCCAATAACCAAGCCGTGTGCTTTCACTTCACAAGTCAAATGGATGATAGCATTCGAATTTTGGAGACTCTAACGACACCGTTCAATCAACACCAGCCTTTGGAAGCCTCTGGTGGACATACTGTTCTTCCACTCCCTCTTCATGAGACACTTATTTCAAATTTGGCTGTACTGCTTGAGGCGGAATCGGATAAGTCGCAGACAAAGAAACTTAAGGTTCTCGAACGGATTGCCGGCTTAGATGGCGAAAAGGTGGCGTTCAGCTCTTTTCGTCTTCCAACTTCGAAAGTACCCTGAGATATTTGAACTCAATCTTTTACTTCTCCTCATATTCTTTAATTGGATAGCTAGTATGTGTCGTCTGTGATAAATGCACAATTATTGTACTAAGTTTTTTAAGGGTTAGCATGAATTTCCGGGTGCATAGAGTTAAAAATGGCCTTTGAGTTTTGCCATTACTTCTTCTTGTTTATTGTTACTAACATTCTGGATAAGAATAATTAGTAACTTTGCAGGCTTTTCAGATCTAAGTTACCTTTGGTGACAAAGTTTCTTCTAATTAGCCTACATTTGACTCGTTTTTTTTGTTTAAAATTCGCCTGTTCTGTTAAATATCCACTATAACAGACTAGATGAAAAGAATTTGTTTAAACTCTAATGTGTAGGTACATCTTAGTTGGTATTCAACACTCGTTCTTAGAGTGGATAATGTTACTGAGTTATACTATTTTGACTCTTTATGGGCTAGTGGCTAACACACCGTGAGTTTGATGCAATTTAGTGCATACCGAGTGAGAGAAGTGGCCAATCACAACAGTTAATAAGTGGGGCTAATAAAGTGGGTGGCGGAATTCCAACTTCTCAAAAATGAGCCCCAAAGACGTCACCCCTCTATCAAAGATGATTGTTGTACTTGGATGTGCATATTTCTCGATTTTGGCACTATCCGCTCTGAACACTGATCTTGTCGCATTGGTTTGAAGCTATCTGACTAGAATCTTATACCGTACTAGCATATTTCTAAGCTTTTGATCTTTAAAGCCATCCTGTTACTGGCCCAACACATTGGCTGGTGCATTTGAGTCCCGGTGTTGTGGTGGTCGATTGTTCAATGGATAAGCGTTGAGACTGTGACTCACAGATTGGTATTTGATTTCGATTATCTCAGAGGAGTGTTTTTATACCTTTTTGACGCCGATCATATGCGAAATTTGCTATAAAATTTCACATCCTTAAAGACCACTGGAGCACAGGAAACAAAATGGCTTAAGGGAAAAATAAGGATTCACGCTTCATGACGAATGTCCGCCGAGGGCAGAGCTTAGTGATCAGTAGATTGATTTTGATAATGGCTCAATTACTTTGGATTTGTTTTCCTTTGAATTTCCATGCTTCTGGCCGAATAGTATGACCTTGTAAATAATATTGCACAACTGAATGTTTGATTAGTGCTGATTATCCTCTCTGGGAAGTCCAACTAGTTATAGAAAGATACAAGTAGAGCCATGGCGCTTCTCCTGGCTATGGTACATCCATGAAGTAATAAGATGGGAATCTGTGTGCGGGAAAATACAGATAGTTCTTCTTATAGTTGCTGTCGCCTTCTGATTGGTGGAGATAAGTAAACACACATCCCTGATTTGTTCAATGGACAGGGAGAGCGATCAACACTTGTTGCGTGAGTTGAGCTTTCCAGTATGTTCTAGTTTTGTACGAGTTGCTGTTTGACACCATTTACAATGCTATGAGCTCCACAGGTTTACGTGAAACAATCATCTGAGAGTTTGCCTAAACCGTGCATCTCCGTCCGAATTTTACTCTGATATAAAATGTACTAATTATCTTAGTTTGGTCACGTGGCCGAAATGAACGAACGCGCAAGTCAGTACTAAGTATTTGTTGCCTGAGAACCGCTGCATGCAATAGTTCTACATCCTTTCGACCTGTTTATATTATAAGCAAAAAGCTGCTGATTACCAAGGTTTTCCAATCCTAAGGAATCTACCACTTAACAGCCAATTCTATTGAAAACAAGGCCACCAATCGGAACAGTATGGTATTACTGGCACCAAAGGTATAACCACAAGGGATTTTGCTTCACTATTACTTTAATGGGAATCGGCTGAGGGAATAGAGGGTTGGGGCCCTCTGTTCTAATGACATCAAATTCATCACAGCCCCAACAGCCGCATTCAATGTCATACAGTCGGGATGTGCGATAGACTTGCCTCCACGTGGTGTACCCTGGGCAACGCATACTCATGCGGCAAAAAAGTCCATAAACCGGCAGTTGACTTCTGAGTTCAAGCTATCATGACCCCACTGCATGTCATATTCGACCACTTCCACAGCACTCACCTCACCTTTCATCTGTATGTCTCTTTTACTTCTTTAAAACGCTCTTCTATTCACCCCCCCCCCTCTCGACTTTTTTCATTTTGATGTTCGTCCTCCTCTGTGAAACCTGAAGTTAACTAAAGGGCTAATGATAAATGTGAAGACTGAAGTCAACTAAAGGGCTAATGATAGCAATCAAAATCAAAGCGCCTGCCATTTGATATAATAATAAAAATGATTAGCTTGAAACAAAGTAATAAGGGAAATCGCCCTCGTCAGGGCGAATTAAAACGTCTACAGACCCTTCAATGGAATGCTAGAGGAATGTGACAGCACAAAA